TTAGCATGCTCGACACCACCATTCCATGTCGGTATTTAATTGAAGAATAAGGGTGTAAAGTTTTGCAAACTCTTACTTGTCCACAAAGAAAGGGTAACTTACAGGAATTGTTGAAAGAAAATACCAGTGAACATGAACACCTACGGGGAGCGTTTAAAAAGTGGAAGCACCAAGCAGGGGAATGAGGAACGGCGGTGATTTCTATTATCTAATTGCAGACAAGTTAACAAAAAGTTTCCTAGTCAAAATACATGTTTTGAAGTCATAAAAAATCAGCTCCTACTCTTAGAGGGGAAAAAAAAAGTATAACTTTCTTCTCAAATCATGTTTTAAAATTGTATTAAAGAATAAGCATTTATTCTGAAATCATTTGGCAAATAAATACAATTTCCTTTGCAGTTCAGGGGGCAGTCTTTATTGATAAATATTTTTTAAAATTTAAATATGACTTCTTTGCACATAAGCATTTGATAATTTTAAATGAAATGGACTAGGCCTCTATTAAATAGTGAGTTCCGTATCACATTGCATGTCCTTAGGAAGAGCCAAAAAGCGGGAAAAAGTTATGTCTACACACGCCAGCCTCAGCAACTTAATTATCTCACTTCAATTACAAGTTCAAACACTTATACAAGTTAAAATATAGACCACGTCTGCTTTGAAATGATACACAACTATTAAATTACATGCACTGAATCATTTTGGGATGAGTTAGAATACCTACAAGAGCATAGGTGTTTTTTATTATGTGACAAATGTTTATGCAATCTGATGTCAACTGTTTATTCTTCAAACCTAGAAAAGAATGTGAAGCAAAATGTGCTACCTGCATATGTAGATTCCACGTTTCCTCACCAATGACACATATACCATACACCTTGAGTTGCTTTTCCGGTGGTGGTTAAAGGTTTGCACTGATCTCCCCATTTTTATTCATTTCCTAAATATTTATTTGCTGGCACCTTCTTTTTCCAGAGATTTGAGTAGAGGGTGGGGACGGAGGCTGTGCTGTCCTGGAGCCGGCTCCCACAGGCTTGCAAAGCCAATTGTTCACATCTCTTCCCAACTCTAGCTGTGTTCGGTGCCATCGCAGCTACCAGTGTCATCGATTGGTAACTTGAATCAGCTATGTTGGGAGTATTGACACTACAGAAATCAACTACTACAAATGAGGGCTTTTAAAAATAATCAGTTGTTAAACATGTATTAGCATCTCACTGGGTAGAGAGGCGAGTGAGAAAGGTTTCTCTCTTCTTCCGTCCTACGGCCAGTTGTTGCCTCTTTAACTTTGCAAAGAGTGTATTCAGAAACAGTGGTGAATTTGTGGCAATAGAGCAGGAAGAAACTACAGAGAGATTGAGTCTAAAGTTTTGCTCTCTGGGATTTGGGCAGAACTGGTATAAGGCCAGAATGTCTGTAAATCAGTATCAGAGCTGGATAAGATGGCAGGAACTGGGGATCAAATCAAGGTTTGGACTCCTCAAGGCCAGGATCAGGCTTAAGCCAGAGTGAATTCTCAAGTAGGAGACAACCATGGGGAAAGAGAAAGAACACCAGGTCTGAGCTATCCAAGATAAGGTGGCCTGAAAAGCTAAATACCTAAGCCTGTCTTAGGTCAATGCTCTCTGATCATTTTCATACCTAACATACTTTGGCTGCCAATTAACTAACTTCTATCCTTTTCCTGATAGCAAGGAGTGCTCTAGAGCAGTGGCTCTCAAATCTTACTATGTAAGTCTTGTTATTAATAAAATGCAGGTGGCAGGGTCTTCGTCCCAGAGCCTTTGATTTAGTGGGTCTGGAGTGGGGCCCAGGGAATTTATATTCCTAACAAGCTATTAGGTAATTATGATGCCCCTGGTTAAGGGATGACACTTTGAGAACCTCTGCTCTAGGATTGGATCAAACATCTCAACTTCACTTATTTCAGAAGAGCAATTAACTTTGCACCACATGGCATGATAACGGTCTTTCATTTATGCATCAATGTCTGTAAAAACCCTCCCTGGCTACATGGGAGAATAAGGAATAGTTAACTGTTGCACACTAAGAGGATCCTTCGTCATCACCATTTGGTCTTTGTGGGAAGATGCTATTTTGGGATACATCTGCACAATTCTTTGAACTTGACAGCCTCAGATAATTGCCTAGAACAAATAAACGTTTATGTGCTATGTGAAATACTTTATATAGACACACAAAATACTTTATTGTAAGAGCAGTCATCACAAACTACATTCTTGTGCATGAGTATTGCTGTCATTGTCTAGAAAAAGGGAACCACATACACATTCAACAAATCAGCCATCGCTTTCTTCAGTTAGCCTCCCAGAGTCGCATTTTTTTTTAGGAGGCAAGCTCTTGCTCTGTCACCCAGGCTGGAAGGCAGTGCCATCAGACCATAGTAGCTTACTGAAGCCTTGAACTCCAGGGCTCAAGCAGTACCCCTGTCTCAGCCTCCTGAGTAGCTAGGGCTTTTTTTTTTTTCCACTTTAGTAGAGACAGGGTCTCACTATCCAGAGCTATATTTCGATGCCAGCCATGGGAGCATAATAGCAATCAGCTGTAGTCATAGTCACTGCAACATAGATCATTTAAAAAGTATATTGATAACTAAAAAAATAATTCGTAAATAACTCATTTTATGACCTGGAAAGTGCAATTTAACATGATTATGCAAAAGGACAAACAGGCTAACCTCTGTTAATGTGCTCTTATACCTTTCCCCCACCTCACTCCTCACTGGATTCTAGCCAGTTCAGCTCAGAGGTCACAAAATTGGGTCTCAGACAAGTGAGGCCTCATTTGTAATAGGGAACTATCAATGTTGTTCAATTAAGTGGCTATCACTAGGGCCCCATTATCAAAATAGCAGCCTCATAGCCTATCATGCCACCATTAAAGCTGATTCTTTTGGAGCTTCAAGATGTATTCATCTTAGAAGTAGTCTCCCCCTTTAGATGTGAATGAATGACTTCTGGGAACTCTCAGCTTGAAGTGGGATATTAGCTCAAAGGCAAACATAACCTGCCTCATAAAGCTAGCACTTCCTGTACAGACAAAGAGTCTTTACACTTCTATCAACTTGTGCCAAAGAATCACCCATTATTAACCACAATTATTTCTAAAAGTCAATACATTTTAAGTTTATTGCAAAAAAGAAAACAAGTCATATGTAATACTAAAAAAAGAAATCTGACATTTTTGCTGATTTTTTTAAACTCTGAATGTACGGGATATTATGAAAAATTCAGCAAGTAAACTAAACAAAAAAATGAGAGGGAACACTATTAACTAGAAATAAACAAGGCCAGAGAAGGATAATTGGGATTACAATAACCAACAATGACAACATCAGAGAACTTCCTCCTAAGTTAGATTGTATACAATATTGACGCAGAATCTTTATAAATGTCTATGTAACAGATGCTGCTTAAGAAATATTTAGAGTCCGAACCTGGTGTGCTATTCTACACATATTTTGCTGCATTTACTATCAGCATAAAATACATGATAAAATATTTTACAGCCTCAGTTTTACTGGTATTCATTTTAATTTAGGTTAACTTGAGAAAATTAAAACAAGCAGCTATTTATGTTATGAACATGTTGTATAGAATTTCATGAATGAAATTTTAATTGATAACACATTTTTCATCCAATTCACATCATTTCATATGTTTCACAAATAGAAGTCAACTCATATTCTAATTTACTGAAATAAATATGTCTAGACACTGAAAGATTTTAAGGAAACATACAAAGATAAGTATGGCAGATACACAAACACTCTGAAATTGATTCTATTCTCTCAGATTTCAGTTATTTATAGGAGCTCACTTTCAGGCTGAAGAGTGGGATCTGGTAGCAGTCAGGGACTTGTCATTTTAAAACATAATTTCTACTACAAATAAAAGCCCTTTTTATCCATTTCAAAATTTGTTCTAGTGAATTCAAATCAACTTAGAGAGCCATGGGTATTGTTTCCACAATTCACATAACCTTATAAAACATGACTCCTTCAATGTGGTTCATGAATGGCCTCTCACTTGTGGTTCTGAGAGAAGTCATAATAATCAGAAGCAAAGAAGGTGTTTTGTTCCATCTCAAAGTTGAGGCTCACATGGCTAAACACCTTACTTCTCACTTTGGAGATTTTCTTTTTCTCCAGACAGCATATTGGCTCTTTCCATAAAATCTGGGAGCTCCGCGGGGCGCGGTGGCTCAAGTTTATAATCCCAGCACTCTGGGAGGCCGAGACGGGCGGATCACGAGGTCAGGAGATCGAGACCATCCTGGCTAACACGGTGAAACCCCGTCTCTACTAAAAAATACAAAAAACTAGCCGTGCGAGGTGGCAGGCGCCTGTAGTCCCAGCTACTCGGGAGGCTGAGGCAGGAGAATGGCGTGAACCCGGGAGGCGGAGCTTGCAGTGAGCTGAGATCTGGCCAGTGCACTCCAGCCTGGGTGACAGAGGGAGACTCTGTCTTTAAAAAAAAAAAAAAAAAAAAAAAAATCTGGAAGCTCTATCTCTCCAGCTCTGTGTCCTTCCTTATCTGCACTTGGGGTTGGGTGGGGACCGGGGCTGAAGGTGGTATATGTGTAAATGGTCTACTCCAGATTGCTGAAGAGAGTTGCTCAACTTACAGAATTTTTGCAAACTGGCTCTTAAAGACAGCCATTTCAAAATTTGAATTATAAAAACATAAAAGTAAATGAATCATACACTAAAAAGTACATGAATTATATAGTATACATTATTTACTAAAAGTAAACTGAATTATATATTCATCATATAAAGTGAATTATATACTAAAGATAACAAACCTATAAAACATCACTTTCTACTTGGTTTTCTTCATTTTCCTATTGCCTATGCATTAAGTTCCAGGGTACCATTACAGCTTTTGAAGCTGAAGTAAGACTGTTTTCTCTAAGTTGGGTGACTATTGCTGATTTCTTTCTTACACAGCATTTATTCCTTTCTTCTGATTTTTTAGGGGTGTCGTCTTTACCTTCCATCACATAATATATTTAAGACAATTTTTCTCAGCTTTAAATGAGTTGATAAGAGGAACAAGAAGAAAGCCAAGGACTCCATTTTCAGGATGAAAAGTAGTTTTTGTCTTTCTCTTCCAAACGCTAGCAGTAGAAGCATTTGAGTTCTGCAGAAATTACTGAAGTGGTTCAAGTGTGGGCAGTCAGGACACTCAGTCCACCATACTCAACCCCAACTCGACCCCAACTCAACCTCAACTCTCAGTATGGCAGAGAGGTGGAGAACTCAGAGCTATAAGTTTCGGGAATTCTCAAAACCTCAGACCAAATGCACCTCTGTTTTACCACCTGTTAAAGTATATCCTCGTCTGCCTCACTGCACATAAGTATACAGCACTGCAGATTGTGTTTAACTTCATTTGCAAATAAATTTAATGCATTTTGTATCCAACATTTCTACTAGGAAATAGTATTAGTCTATCCCCAAACTAAAAGTCATTGCAAAAATGTATTTCACTCAAGAAAAATAATGATAATTCTTCAGACACCTTTAGATGTCATTCAACAATCACACCCAATGGGTAAAATTTAGAGTTCAACATTTAGCTTGCATTTCTTCCTAACCAAACATCTCAAGTTCAAAACATAAAGCAGATTGTTTTGCGCATTTGTTATCATTACCACATCAATGGTCACCTACACTTCCTGAGCTCCAAATAGAGCTCTCAGAGAAGCATTGTATATTTGTCAATATCCTGGAGTTTCAAAATTCCCAAGTGTTGCCACCATTTGACCTGAAATTTCCTCTCTTCTCAGATTCCTGCTTCTAAACACAAAACAAACAAACCTTTACTTAACTTAGCTCATGTGTGAACTTTTAGGGTCATTTGTTTCATATCCAGAAAGACTTTAAGTCTCTTTGCTAAATTTTGATTTATCTAAGGCCGGTAGCCTGAATTCAACTTTAGCAGTCCCAGGGCTCAGTAGATTTGCCCTGTAGATTCTGTAATTGGATATTTATGTTCCATGCATTTCTTCTTTCAGAGCATAACAGAAGTATAGGGATAACACCTTAGTTGAATGTTGTCCCTAAAATAGCTTCTCATTTGTAGCACTCATAGGAATCTGAAATTATTCACGTTCAGCTGACATTTCCATTAGGTGGGATGCTGCCTGCTAATTCACATTTGCCTGGGATTGGTCCTCAGAGTTCAGATTTAATTTTGATAACATAAACTCTATCCTTTAATAAATAATAAGCAGTAAAAATTAAAACTATTGTTATTGGGCATTTTGAATGAAAAAAAATCAGTATGATATATTAGGTTCAAGAGTTCCTCAATATCTTAACCTATATTGCCTTTGGAAAGAAGCAATCCTTAGATAAAAAATAAAATACTTTAAAATTTCTCTCCTTTTCATTAGCGCATAAGACTGGATGGGTATTGTCACTCTTGCCACTGACTCAGTGACATGTCAGAAACAATGAAGTCTTAAATATATTGCTCAAAATTTCAGCTGCCTATATATAGCATAAAATTAATTGCATTTAGAAAATAAAGTTCTGTTTCCATAGCAATTTTCAAGTAGATCTTAAATGTTCTCTACACAGAAAGATTAGTATGTGAGGTAATAGATACTATAATTAGTTTGATTTAATCATTTCACAGTGTATAAAAGTATCAAAGCAACATGTATGTCATAAATATATAGACTTAAAAAATTTTCAATTATACCTTAATAAAGCTGAAAAAAATAAATCAACTTAAAATTTTAAAATTAAAAAAAGTCAAAGTTTTGCCTACTATCACATTTGAATAACCTGTGCATTACTTTATTTAGGTAAGTGATCAACATTTTATTCATTCAACAAATATAAACAGAAGCCAACATGTGACAGATATTGTGAAATATATCAAGTAGGATCAGAAGCTACAAAGGAAACTTGTATTCATTGCACCTGTTTATCTCAAATAGAGCTCTCTAATTTAATTCCATTTCACTAGAACACTACATAAGATCTTCTGAAACTGTGGGTAGTAAACTTCAAGTATAAATTAACTAAAACTTTGACAATATGGATAAATCCCTTTTATTCATGTTTCTTAGGAAAATGACATTTAAAATGGCTTTTAAAATCATCTGAAAGTAGAATTCTGCAAAAAAGAGGAAGACAGTTGAGAGATTTGAGACGAGGAACCATAGTTTTCTGGGCAGTCTAGATAGAGCAAACCACCCTAAGTCTGAGTTTTTGGTTATCTAGCCATCACCATGACTCATCGGGGCACTCCTAGCGGGGCCTCAAAGTCTTCACTCCCTGATTTGGCATAACACTATATGGGCTTCCTTCAGAACTGAAAGAACTACATTGGCTTCTTAGAGACTGTGTGCTTTGTCCCACCTACCTGACTTTTACGTAGAGGCTGTTAAAAAACCTTCAATAACTGGCCCAGTCTCTAAGACCCTTCTAAGAATCCTCATGCCCAGTTCTTTCTTTTTTTTTTTTTCTTTTTTTTTCAGATGGAGTCTTGCTCTGTCGCCCAGGCTGGAGTGCAGTGGCACAATCTCAGCTCGCTGCAACCTCTGCCTCTTGGATTCAAGTGATTCTCCTGCCTCGGTCACCTGAGTAGCTGGGACTACAGGCATGCGGCACCACGCCCAGCTAATTTTTGCATTTTTAGTAGTGTCAGGGTCTCACCATGTTGGCCAGGCTGGTTTCGAACTCCTGGCCTCAGATGATCTGCCTGCCTCTACCTTCCAAAGTGCTGGGATTACAGGCGTGAGCCACCACACATGGCCTCATGCTCAATTTTTTCTTAAATTAATCCAAGAAAAACATCTTGATCCAGAGTAGACATCCCACAGTGTCATTAAAAATTAGTGTCATCAGATGATAAAAATAAACAATTTAAGAAGTATTACTTTGCAGTCCCATATTTTATAAATACCAGAAGTTGATATAGTGTCTACAAATGAATTACACCTGCGACAAAGGGCCAAGTGTGATGTGATAACACAGAGTAAACTCAAATTTTTCTATTGAAGAATCTCTGATTTTAAAAAGGGCAAACATTTCAATACAAATTCCTATAAAAAATACTAACAAAGAATCCTTTATAGTTAAGTGTGGAGACATTTGGAAGAGAAAACAGGAGTACTGCAGCAATCTAAAAAACCTGATGATACACTTCAGAGATTACACAATATTTTCCAATTCAAAATAGTCAGCCTATTTTGTTGGGGTATTTATTGGGACAAGTTTCAATAGCCCTGTCTTCAGAAACACTAAAATTACAAGCATTATATTCCAATTATAAAAATATTACGGTGTTACTAATACTTTATTAGTAACATAGGTCCACTAATACCCTTGAAACTGCCTGGAATTTATAAAAAAAATACTTGATTAATCCATGGACTCAAACATTCAGAGTTTCATGATTTAAATCATAGGTATTATCATGTTTCCGGTAAAATAAAACACCCATACTCACTCTGTTGGTTGATGTATATCTGTGATTGTTTCACACCTCATTTGACAGAAACATTATGAGGTCTGAGTTGGTATTTGTGGAAAACTCTGTATATTTTTCTCATGGCAAAGAGCCAACAATAATTTTACTTGTCTACCACATTTTATGTAGTGGTGTCTTTGAAAAACACTTACCAAAATAACCTCAATGGAAGTCTAATCTTAGATGACTAACAATGAACAGATACTGTGAACAAAATGTGAGAGAGGTAGAAAGACTAAAAATACTAAGATAATTTAATATGGGGTAAGAATTAGGGACGAAGTCGAGATTATGGGGAATTGTAAAAATAGTAAAATTCTGTAGAAATGACAGGTTTGACGTCAGGGGCAGAAAAGGACCAGGAAAACAAAAGTAATTGAATTTTAACAAAATTCTGGCCAAATGTCATCAGCAAAATATAGCATATTAATAAAATGGGAAAATGCAAGGCAAAGCTGGCAGGAAAACAGATGGGTCAACTTTGGAAAGAAAGGATCTTACAATGAAGACATTTCGTGCCTTCACAAGGCAACTTGTATAGGAGTTCTAAAAGGACAGTATCCAAATATCCATCTCAGGTGGAGTGAATTCTTGTTGGGTCTTCAAAGAAAGATCTTGTCTAGAGTTCCTGACATAGACAGACCTCATGAGATACTCTTCATGAAACTCCTTTGATTTTTGTGTCTCCAAGCTTGACTGACTTACTCAAAGCATTTATTCTCTTTCTTCACTGAGTCTATTTTCATTTGCTTCGTCCTTCTATCTGAAAGAGCTGGCCTTCTCCAGATTATATGCCGTGAACATCAGTCTAAGAAAGTGGCTTTTATGAGGTTTGGTACTTAAGAATTTCATAGTTAGTCCTATGATAGAATTTTATAAACACATTGAAAGAATAATTTTGATTTTAAATAGATACATGAAGTGATTTATCCACTGTCCATTTGGCTTAAAGGAATTCAAGTTTTCTGAAGTGAGGATTTGGTCGTTTGGACTGTAGTTGACCCTTCTAAATGCACTTCCTTTATAGCTAACCCAACATAATGAGGTCACATAATCTCTCCAGATCTAATAAAAAGTAATTTCGTATTTTTTACTTTCAAGTCAGACTAAAACATGTTACAGAAATTTTCTCAGAAGGGTTTCCTTACAATTGAAAGATTGACTAATTAGATATCCTCTACTTTATATTAACTATACATACATTTTCCTGAAAAAGAAATGATCACTCATTAAAATCCTGGTTATTCTTCCTCATTGTTCTCTACCTCTCTGGTTCCTTAATCTTAGGTCCTTTTTCTGCCTTCCCTGTAGATGGAATTTTAAAAGGATGCATTCTCAGCCTTTGCAGTTAACTTCGCTGTGGGAAATCTCAATTTTGGCCATGGCTTTATCTAATACTTATTTGCTCATGACTCTAATATTTACATCCAGCCAAGTTATCCCATCAGAACACCAGAGCCACATATCCAACTGCTAACTAGACAGCTTCATGTGGATATCTTACTGGCAAGTCAAACTTGAAATGCTCTGAAATGAATTCCCTATCTTCTCCAAACCTATTTCTGTATTCCTGTCTCAAAGAATGTCTAATCAGGCATCATAATCTCACATTTGAGAATTATGATTGCCACTAGTGAGTATCCTGCTTCCCATCTTGAACTGTTTTGACTGTAATTCATATTCCATGTGGCTTCTCTTCATTTACTCAAGAAATACTAAAAGAACACCAGCTATGTGCTGGGCAATATTTTAGTCATTGTGGATGCCTCCTTGAGTAATAACAACAAAAAGCCCCTTCTCTGATGAAATGTGTATTTTAAGATGGTAGACAATAAAATACATAAGGAACACGTCACATTCTGATAAGTCCTGTGAAAAATAATAAAGAGAGTGTAGTAGTTTGTACCACAGACTATTTGGCTTAAACAATAGAAAGTTATTTTCTCACAGTTCTGGACCCTCTAAGATCAGGATGCCAGCAAGGCTAGTTCTTGCTAAGGCCTTTCTCCTTGGCCTGCAGATAACTGCCTTCTTGCTGCGTTCCCACAGGCCCTTTTTCTGCACACATCCCCTTCCTGGTGTCTCTCTTCTGAAAAGGACACAAGTCCTAATCGATTAGAGGGTCACTCCTATGACCTCATTTAAACTTAATTGCTTCTTTAAATAAAGGTTCTGTCCCCAAATGAAGTCAAATCAAAATGTAAATTTTAGGGGGATGCACTTCAGTCTGCAATAGAAGGATACATACCAGGTGAGTCTGCTTCTCAAAATCCTTTAATTACTCCTCATTGCCTTCCAGAAAAAGTTAAATCTTCTTTCCTTGGCATACAACATGAGAAGACCTATTCAGCTTCTTCCCTGGGTGGCACAGCTTGAGCTATATTAAATACATTCTGTCAACGTGCTGTTTTCAATGCCTGAAATCTCTTCTTGCTCTTACCTTTCTAGAAAAGTATTTCCATACTCCATATCTAAGAGGAATCCTCTGTAAAAGCTCTTTCTTCTAGGCAGTATTAGATGTTCAAATGTCCAATAGCTCTTGTTATATACCCTTATTATAATACTAAGGAATTCATATTTATATGCTCACTTAAATGTCTATCTCTCCACTAAACTTTCATTTATCTGAAGGTAGGAATGATGCTACTTTTTATTCATAGCAATTAGTATGTTAGTGCAGACAATTAATATTCAATTTAATTATTAAATCATATTAAGATCAGTCTTAAGATACTACAATCATATGACTTAATTAAGCATTACAGACTTGTAATAGAAATCCCAACCTATGTTTCAAAAAGTTGATTCTTTTAAAATTACATAGCAATCTTGTTCCTTAAACTTACAGTACCATATCATCAATGGTTCTCATAATCCTCATTTGTATAGCATGCTCCCAGTTTACTTATAGAGACAGCATACTCATAAAATTGAAATTGTCATCTAATTATCATGTCATTATTTAAAAATTTAAAATAGTCTTTTATATAAGAATGTACTGGCATCTATATTTCCCCATTCAAAGATAAATTATATTTTTAAAAGAATTTTAGAAATTATATTTCTGTTATAAAAGAGAGACTGCCTTTTATAAACTCATAAGCTAAACACTTATTTTAAGAGTTAGAAGTAGAGTAGCATAATTAATAATCTTAACATGGGACTAAGTCTTAGAAAGGTTACAACATTTTTAGGGTTAGCAAATGGTGATCAAAGAGAAGGCAGGAATGGATA